TGTATTCATGAGTTTTTGAAATTGTATTTATAGATATTGATTTTTTTTTCTATAAATTATGTGAAAAACTCCTTGTGTGTGATGTCAAAATAGCTTTATCCGAAGGACAAAACAAATGATTTTTGACCTCATTTTATCCTCCAGTTGGAGCTGCATCCCCATGAACTGCAAGGGGTCTTATAGTAAAGCATTGTTGATGTTTGAGCATTAATTGWTGGTATCACTGAATTTGCAAGATCAGGAATTGCTCTTTCACTGTAAATTTTATACTTTTTTTGCTATAACTTTATTTTACCAGTATTGAGCAGTGAGAATACCAAGTTGAAACAGCTGTGGCTACCATTCAGTAATAATGCTGTTTGTATGTCTTCCAGGTGATAGATCTCTTTGTCTTACTGATTCTCCATTCTACTGGTAATCGTAAGAAGAATGTTGAAAGCCTGTTCAGGAATAAGATTAAGATGGGACATTTTACAGTGGACATGCTTGCTTCAGCCTTCACCTCACATTCACAGGTACATGTACATTGTATTAATTTAACACCAATTATGTCAGGCATGGATATGTTGTAGTTCAGGTTCAATATGATTTTGAACTAGTTAAATTTCTTCTGAACTGGTTCAGTTTATTTTGAGCCAGTCCAATATAACTCAATCCAGTACAAATCAGTTTAGGGTTAGGGTTAGGGTTAGGGTTAGGGTTGGGAATAGGGTTGAGCCAGCATTATATAAAMATTTTCTTCATTMATAAATTRCAATTAAGATAAAAACAATTTGCAAACATTACTACCAACAAAATCCTTGATGGTATAATTGGTAGTACTGTGGACTGTGAAGCAAGATTTCAGTGGTTCAAACCCTGATGAAGGTAAGTGCTATTCATAAATTAAAAATATAGAAAATATCTGTCATCAATATTTCTGTGGGGTATAGGGTAAGGTAAAGTAGGAAATAGTAGAAGGTAGAAAATAAGATGATAGATAGAAAATGTGAGAGAATGAGATTGGATATAGTTCTTTTAGTTCTTTTAAGAATGCCAAAGCAAAAAAAAAAAAAAAAAGAAGACCAGTACAAGAAGTCTTGTACTGGAACAAATTAGATTAAACTGGTTCAAAAATATATTGAATCCGAACTACAACAGATACATAAAGGTTGACTTAAACAGAAAAAATGTCTGGTTTACTGTCTGACTTAGACGGCAAAGCATCTAGTTTACTGTCGGACTTAGACAGCAAAGTGTCTATTTTACTGTTTGACTTAGATGGCAATAAAGTCTGGTTTACTATTTGTGACTTAAAGCGACAATAATGATCTTGTTATGAACTTATTGACTTAACGGCAATAAAGTCTGCTTAACTGATAGTCTAAGATAGCAAAAATGCCTGGTATATTGCTAGATACATGTAGCAGTAATGTCTGGTAAACTGCGATTGAAAAATAGCAATAATGTCTGATTAAACAACAAACAACAACTATGTATGCRATTGTAAATTTCTTTGATATCAAGCATATTACAGTATATTTATTAATTACTAAAATTCACTTGCTTAATTTTTCCGCAATAAATTCCAGGTCTTAAGAGAATACTTTACCAATATCCTRTCTCTTGGTGAGGTGCTGTTGAGGTCTCCAGATCCAGCTGTGTGTTCATATGCRTGTGCAATCTACCGCCATGCATTTGTTGCATTTGATCTATATTGCCAGCAGGTAAGCGTTKTTGAACAGTTTGGTTAAAGGTTAAAAAGGTTAAACGATGAAYGAAGAGACCTGAGTAGTTTGTATCACACCCTTAACTTCACAAAGAAAACAACCTAAATGTCAGCCCTGYCCTTTATTTCAGTGAGAAATATTCTTTTTGTCATACATCTAT